ATATATATATATATATACATATATATATATATACATATACATATATATATATATATACATACATACTCCCCCCCCCTTTTTTTACAAAACCACACTGCTCTTCCTGAATCCGAGGTTCGACTATCCGACGGACCCTCCTCTCTAGCACCCCCGAACAGACCTTGCCGGGGAGGCTTAAGAGTGTGACTCCCCTGTAATTGGAGCACACCCTCCGGTCCCCCTTTTTAAATAGGGGGACCACCACCTCAGTCTGCCAATCCAGGGTAACTGCCCCGATGTCCATGCAATGTTGCAGAGTCGCGTCAGCCAACACAACCCTACAACATCCAGGACCTTGAGGAACTCCAGGCGGATCTCATCCACCCCCGGGGCCCTGCCACCGAGGAGCTTTTTAACCACCTCGGCGACCTCGCCCACAGAGATTGGAGAGCCCAGCCCAGAGTCCCCAGGCCCAGCTTCCTCAATGGAAGGCATGTTGGTGGGATTGAGGAGGTCTTTGAAGTATTCCGCCCACCAACCCACAACGTCCAGAGTCGAGGTCAGCAGCACACCATCCCCACTATAAACAGTGTTGGTGCTGCACCGCTTTCCCCTCCTGAGATGCCGGATGGCGGACCAGAATCGCTTCGGAGCCGTACGAAAGTCTTTCTCCATGGCCTCTCCAAACTCCTCCCACACCCGAGTTTTTGCCTCAGCAACCACCGCCAGGGTCCCCTCCCTCGGCCGCCACCCAACACACACTGCACCCGACCCCTATGGCCCCTCTCACGAGTGGTGGGCCCATGTAAGGGGTGACTCATGTTTCCTCTTCAGGCTGAGCCCGGCCGGGCCCCATGGGTAAAAGCCCGGCCACCAGGCGCTCGCCATCGTGCCCCCCCTCCAGGCCTGGCTCCAGAGTGGGGCCCCAGTGACCCGCGTCCGGGCGAGGGAAGCCTGCGCTTTGTCTGGTTCCTCACCTAGGACCTGTCTGCCGTGGGTGACCCTACCAGGGGCATAAAGCCCCAGACCACATAGCTCCCAGGATCATTGGGACACTCAAACCTCTCCACCATGATAAGGTGGCAGCCCAAGGAGAGAGGTAAAACATATTTATTTATCATATTTTTAATACTGTTATGAATATGTATGTATTCATACATTTGTTTTGTATTTGTATGTCTATTTGTATTGTAGCCTGATCGTGATCTTTCTTCAATTTCCATAAAAAATTAAACAAAGAACTTCTCTAAAACTGAATTTAATTTCAAAGGCTCTCCCTTGATGCATGAAAGACATAAGAACCCCTCTTGAACATATCCCAAGCTCAGCTTTAACATATTGTCGCGTCTTAATCCTTCACAATACACCATCGTCATAATGCCAACTCTCCTTCTAGCACAGAGGTGCCAAGACTTTTGAATAATGATTTTAAGACTTGAATTAAAAATTACAAATAAATATATTTATATGCTTTGGAGCTTCAGAGTTTTAGTCACAAATAATAGACACCCATGATGGCCATCAGTCCGCCAGTAACAATATATTACTGCTTCCAACAATCCAGATACGATTTAGTGCTGAACCTATATACTGCCCTGACATAATAAGACTGACATCTAAACAAGGCAGAAATAAATAAATTGGCTGAAATGCTGTAACGTTAAACTGTTTTGCCTCTAGCTGAGAACTCCAAAAAAGTTATGATTTAGGATAAATATAAATGCATACTCTTTATATACATCAAATTTGTTTATAAAGAAAAGTTACTTCTATTTATTTTAAGTTTTTTAATATGAGACATTTGCTTACCGGTAATAAAAATAATGAATGAATGTCAGGAATTTATCATCAGTTTATTCTTAAAAAAATACACATAAAGTGAAATAAAAAAATAATAAATTAATGCCCTTAAAAGGATAAAAATAGACATAATTTTTCACCTCCTTCTGTGACGAACTCTCTGCTTTGGTGACAGAAAGTTTTCACTTCCAATGTCAAGGTCACAATGGGGATTCAGATGCCCACGTTTTATCCCTCCTCTTTTCCTCCACCTGTCTGCCTCTCTGCTCTTCCTGCTCTTTTTTCTAACCTTCTCCAATCTGAGAGGGGGTTTGGGCTGTCTTTGACTTTGAAGGATGTATCCAGAGGGGTCAGCAGAACAATCTCTATCATCAGAGGTACAACAATGCCTCGCCAGAAGTCCTCCTTCGCGCTTGGCCTGGGCCTCCCTCCTCAGTCGCTTCACCTCACGCCTCTCTCTCCGTCTTTCAGGCCAGGTCCTCCTCCTTCCAGGATTGGATCCTGGATCCTGTTTGGTATTACTTCTTCCCTGGACTGATGTTCTATCTTTGCATAAATCCCCTGTTTTCTTAGCCAGCTGTCCTTGCTGTGAAGAATGTAGTGATCCACCTTTTAGAAGTTCTGAAAACAAACACAGTAGTTATTAAGCTTTGATTATGAAGTCAGATTTCACCTTTAAAAATATTTTGTATATTGGATGAAGTGAAGTGGAATCCATTGTTTTAATTCCACACAATATTTTACTAAAATCTTCAGAATGCAAATTTTCATCACCCCTGGCTGGTGCTAGCTCATTTTCACCTTGTTGTAGAATCTCCTCCAGGGTATCATAGTGGCAAACATAAGGCAGAGAGGGAAAAGTGCCACTGATCATTCTCCTCTTCACGCACTCCTGACACCGACAAAGTCAATCACCCAAATGTGCGAGAGAATAAGGAGAAAATAAGAAAAACACACAAAAAACAGGACATCCCCGATGGTGAAATACAGCTACTTACATGACCATAATGTCCCCTTTTTGAGCAGTTGTAGCAATGAGCAAAGTGACTCTTAGGTTTGCCACTGCAGATGGTTCTGGGTCTGAAAGGGACCCCAAGGCTGACCTGGAAAAAACATAAATCGACTTTGATGATTTTCTAAATGTATTCAAATGAATTCTCAAATCTGTACTTGAAAGAGTAAATTATACATTATACAAGTATTCCTGCCCCTTCAGTGTTTCCCATGGGCTGATTATTCATTTGTGGTTTTGGGGCAACCCAGCTAACAGCTTTGGCTTAACCCAGCTTTCAGATAACTGGATACTGACCCCAACAAGTGACACTTCCATTCTGGGATCTGCTAATTTAATTGTAATCTGGTTAATTCAGACATCTCATTATTTTGATAAAACTTGAAATTAGGGCTGAAACAATTAATTTGATTAGTCGATTAATGAAATAATTTAAAATTATTTTAGTAATCGATTAATCGTTAACTGGAGTATAGAGACTCTAAAACATGCCTTTAGCTGACAGAGCAACACATTTAGAGCAGTATGTATATCAAAATTGTAAAAAGATATATTAAAATTTTGCATTAAAGATTAATAAAAATATTTTCATTTGTCAATATGCTCTATCCAGAACTCATCAAGTGGAATTTTTTTTAGCTTCACTTGGTTTTATTTAGTAAAATGAAACCACCTTCTTTAAGGAACCTTTACCTATCCGATTATTAATTGATTAATCAAAAAAATAATCATCAGATTAATCGATTTGCAAACTAATCAGCCCTATTTAAAATATAAATCTAAAGTATATTGAATGATCAATGTAGTAATTAAACTGGCAAATCCATTAAATATATATAGCTATATTAGTTTGAATCAAATATTTAATAAAAGCATGTCTAAAAATGTATTACTTTAAAATAGCTTTTATGATTTCCTTTGCCAAAAGAGAGAGAAAAATATTTTATAATGTCTCCATCACACCAGTATCAAGCTTGAATAATTATTAATAATTCAAATAAATCCTTTTTTTAATTATTCATTCATTTACTATTAAGATCCATCTAAAATTGCATTGAAAATTTCACTCTTGAATTTATTAAATTTCTGGCATTTTTGGCTTTCCACACATGGCCTGATTGCACTTTGTTTTATGTTTAACCTCATGATTCAGTGGAGTGTTTAGATTTTAGCTCAAAAAGTTCTGATCAAGATCCTTAGCAGTTTGGGTTCTGCAGCAGGATCTTTTTGTTATTCACAGCCGCTCACCTCCTGCCTGATCCTGGAGGTGCAGCAGGAGGCGGAAGCGCCTGGTAGTGACATCAGTCTAAAGCAAAATGAGACCCATGTACTGTGAATGAGTTCACAATACATGGGTCAGTTGCTCTCATACCTATTACTGTTATCACTTAATCTAGCCTTTTCTTATATTCTACACTATAGATGATTCCTGCTGATTTTGTATCAGATCAATATAGCAGGTAAAATTAGAATTGAACATGCCACCATTTTTCTCAGTAAATATATTTCTAGAGGTCCTGTTGCTATTGAATTTTCACCAGATGTCAGTAACAATCCATGCAATCAACACATACAAAGAAATCAAGCCATATATGTGCGTTACCATTTGACCTCTAAACACGATGTGTATTATGGCATCCAAAGAGTTCAATTTTGGTTTCATCTAACAAGACTATATTCTCCCTGTATTCCAAAGGCTTGTCTAAATGTTGTGCAGCAAACTTTAATCGAGCTTCCACATGCTTTTTCTTCAGCAATGGACTCTTGCTTGGTGAGCGTGCATACAGGCCATGGCGGTTGAGTTCACTACTTTTTGTTTTCTTTGAAACGATTGTACCTGCTAATTCCAGGTTTGTCTGTAGCTCACCAAAAGTTGGATAACTCTTCAGAAAATAATTTTCACTCTCTGTCAGAAATCTTGTGAGGAGCGGCTGGTTGTGGTCGGTTTGTGGTGAAATAATGTTCTTTCCACTTCCAGATTATGGCCCAAACAGTGCTTACTGGAACATTCAGAAATCCTTGTGTAACCAATATCATCATTAAAGTTTCTTTCTTAAGAAAGCTCTTTACTTTTACCCATCACGAGATGATTCTTGTGTGACACCAAAGACACCTTTTTATAGGCCATCATTTGGGACTGAACCAGCTGATATTAATTTGCACGGACAAGGGGAAGGATTGCTTTCTAATTACTGAGAGATTTCAGCTGGTGTCCTGGCTTTCCATGCCTTTTTGTGCCTCCCTTTCTTCACATGTTCAATACTTTTTTCTTATGCGATTCTGCATTATTAGACATAATTTAATTTCTGGACATCTATGGTTTGACTTCTTTGTATGTGTGGATTGCAAAGATTGTTTCCGACATCTGGTGAAAATGTCATGTCAATAGCACCTCTAGAAATATATCTGCTGTCTCTGTGTTAAAGCTGTAAAATCAGTTTGATATCAGAAATTAAAAAGGTGTGTCAGGATATTCCTAGTTAGTATTAGGATAAATAATTTTGCACAGCATTGAACAATTTATACCTCATCAGGCTCAAAGAAATCAGGTGTTTCCCCTCGAAAAAAAGCTAAAATAAGCAAAGAGGGATTAGATCAACCACTTACTGTCAGATGGTATTGTCTCCATGTATCTGGACAAGCCTGTGAGATGAAAAAAAACAAAGGACAGATATTTAACTATGAGAAATGACACACTGTAGTACCACTAAAGATGCAACTAATGTAGAAATAGAGAAACACTTCAGAAAACAAAGAGATCACACAGCAGCACATACCAGAATGTGCTGTCAGCCATTTTCTTAAAAATTCAACAAACTTTAATCATCTCCCCAAGGGGTTTCTTGTGGGAGCTGACAAAAAACTCACATCCGACACGTGGCCGATCAAGCCACAGCGCTGGCAGTGCTGCTTCCACACTGGAGGCACTTTGCAGGGGCTAAGGCCGTGTGAAGGCAGTCCGCAGGTGGAACAGGGACGGTTGGGACAGTCTCTTTGGACGTGGCCCTGGACGCCGCAGAGAACACAAGTGGGAATTTTCTGCTGAAGAGCACAAGGATTTATATATATATGATCGCCAACAGGAAGACATAAAACAATAACAAAGGTGGGTGTGCTGTTGTACCTTTTGGTAGTAGCAATTTTTGGAAACATGCCCAGTCCTGTTGCAGATGTTACAGATGGTTGGACCAGTCAGGAAATAGCGACTTCCCCGAGATTGAGCAGTTTTAAACTGGACATATTAAAATATCAAAGTTATGTGTGAGAACATTTCAGAGCTCATCTAACCAACATATTTATACTGCATATGTTTTGCATTAGCAAGCTCATTTCTAGAGTTTCTCAAACCAACATGATAAAGATTACCTTGTCTTTTTCTGATATGGCCCAGGGATCTCTTTCTAATTTCCCTGTCTTGTCTGCCATATCTGAAATGGAGAGAAAAACTACAAACTGTTACTGCATTGAAGAATTAGAGTCAGCTCCAACTATAACAGCCAAGTTTTGTGCACAAGCATAGGAATTTGATGTTTGCTTTTTCCACACTTATGTCAGAGGTGACCACCAAAGCTGCACAATATCAGAAAATTTTCAATTACATTGGTGCATGTTGCATGACTCCTGGTACATATTTAAAAGGCGTTAATGTGTTTTGCTTCTGGTTCATAGCAAACTGTACAAGTACATCTAAAAGTAGAAAAGCATTCGGAGGGTGCAAACCAACAACGTTCCCTTCCCTGGGATTTTCTCTTAAGCTCCCAATAGTTACTGCTGCCACCTTGTGGTTTAGTGGGGAACTGCTTCTATCCCTACCTCATAATGTTGGAGAATATTTGTAAAAAATCCTGTACCCAGACCCTGATCTGAATTAACACCAGAATTGAATAGATTGTTCACTGGCTTGAGGGGCAATTCTGATAAAAAAAAAAGTCATTAAAATCTGTCCATAACTTTTGTTGTTATTTTAAAAACTGACGCTAATGAAAACAATCTCGGTGGCGGAGGTAAAAAAAAACACCTTCACTGATTAATTCAAAACACCCGCAAAGGTTCTTCAAAAGTATATACAGTACTGGGGAAGACAAAAAGTTTTTGCTGTAGAAGCCAGAGTTCAGATGATAGACAAGATCTGTTCAGGGTGAGGGTGGAGTTAACGCAGCAAGAGCCACCACCCATAGATGACTCCTTCACATGGGCTACGAATGTCACAGTCACCAGCGGTTTGGGCTCATCTGTGCATTTGGTCCACTGTGTTTTCTCAAATCCACACTTGTCACTTTATTATACACTGCAGTCACTTCTTTTGGCTCCGGTGTGAGCCAACAAATTGACAACAACTCCTGGATGGGTGTTTAAACAGCTTTAAAAAAAAAACAGAGTCAAAGTCTGGTTCCCTTCCAATTGAAGCCTGTTTGCAGTTTGATTTAGAGAAAGTTGACTGGCCTGCACAGAATCCTGACCTCAACCTTATACAACAATTTTAGGATTAACTCAACCGGAGCATTTAATTCTGCTTTAAACAAATTACTATGGACCCAACAGACTTTTGGTAAATGCTTCCAGATTATTAAAAATTGATTTTGCTGGCAGTGGAAATCCATCAACAAAATTCTATAGATTGTGAATAGGATATCATCAAATTTCAAACACATATATAAGCAGATGAACAAATATGTTTGGCACTATGTTGCATATACATTAAATGCTGTAGGTATTGATATTTCATGCATATTATTTTGAGGTCTTATTAATTGATTATATTATTTTAAACATTAATCAGCTGTGATTATTTGTTCCTCAGTATATCAGTAGCCTGCTTGAGTAATATTTTGGTTGGTTAATTTTTACTTGAGTGAAATCTGTTAAAGTAAAGCTCTTAATTAAGAGCAATTTTTGACAACACTACCCAGCTCTGTATCAAACAGAGCATAAATCATTGATTTAATCAGTATAGATTTATAAATATGAGTGCATATTTATGAGCCATGCCTTCATGGAAACCTGTTCTGTCTTTTGTGTTGGTTCATTTCCCTCTTGGTATAAATTGATTAGTCTAGACTGACTAATCTGGTTATGGGACCTGCAGTTTTTATCCACCCCTCAAAAAATGTTGTTGTTCTGCCACTGGTCTACCTACAGCTGTAAACGCTACTCTCTGACAGGTATCTCTGATTTATGGGGACAGTCACCGTTTTGAACCACCTGTCCCCGGCTAAAGCTGTCTGTGATTTTACCGTTTTATGATTGGGAGAGTAAATGTTGCGTGTAGACTGTTATTAGGGTAGAAAAACTTTGTGAGCATGCTGCACACAGAAACAGCTGTTAGCTAGCTGATTGGCAGCTGTTAACTTATAGATGAGGAGCAGAGCGCAATACTTTTAAAGCAGAAGAAGTTCTTTATCAAAACCACTGTGCTATGGTGAGTGTGTCAATCAGTTCATTTGATTTGATTTAGCCTGATCATTGTGATAGATTTTTGGTTCATGCCCAGGTTAATTAAAAAAGGGCTTTGCTGTGTTTTGTTTTACTAAAGATTAGGAACAAAAATGTCACATAAAGCAAGCTAATCAACAAAAAGTAAGACAAAGCATTGGCTGCAGCTGGCATTAGGAAATAGACTCAGATAACATTAAGCAGAATGACTGAAAACTCCTTGTAAGGCGCTTATCTGGTTCTGTGGCTCAACAAGGCTTCATCTAAAGATGTTTTTTAGAACTGATTTGTGACCTTTAGTTCATATCTTCAGATAGTTTGTCATTGTAAGTAGAGTTATAAGCCGTTTTGCTGTTTTATGGTTGCGATTTATGAGCATAGACTTCCAGGCACAGGTCTACTTCTCTACCACTCAGTTTGGATAGACTGAATGAGAGTTCCTCATGATAAAAAATAAGAGACAGTATAAGGAAAACTGAATAAGACTAGATCTGCATGATCTGAGAATTATGGAGGAAGAGATAACCACCTGTTTAATATTCATTTATTAGGTTTTTACTTTTAGCTCCAAATATTGTGGTGATAAGCCTGTTTAGTACTTAACCAGGTGAGATCACAACAATAATAATAATAATTACCATAATCATAATAATCATAACATGTATGATGAGATTATATGCGTTTGAAAGGGACTTTGATTGTATTATGTCCTTGTTTCAGATTAGTGTACGATTGATAGAAGAGGAAAAACATTAGAAGACTGATAGAAAGAAGATTGAATGAGAGTGGAGGAAAATAGGGAGGCTGGTGGAATCATCAGTTTAAGAGAAGGAAGAAAAATCTACTTACAGAGAGCATCTAGAAGTCAGCTAGAAAGAAAAGAAGATGGAGAGGGAAGAAGACAGAGAAGACTGAATGACCACATGGCACTAATCAACACTATAGATTAAGTTAATTTTAATAATGTTAGGAAGTAGGAGAGGCCCTTCCTGTATTTTACATTTTAATTTTGATATTTATTTAGTTTTATCTACGAGCTGGAAATGTCCCCAGACTGGATTTCAGAAAACTGGTCACCTTATGCTATAGATGCTGTTCATTTTGAACTGATCCATCCCAAAAAGTTCCTTTAAAAACAAACTGAAAATCTGTGGCTCTAACATGTGCAGACGTGGTGAATTATAGATAATATTTGCATTAATCTCTGACCTTCCTCTCCGTCTCCTTCATCAGAGCTGTCCCAGCAGTCTAGGTTGAGCTGGATCCGTGTGTCCTCTATCTGCTCCTCTCCCTCCAGCATCATCCAATCTTCAATGGGCTGATGATCACTGTCCTCCTCTAGCTGCTCCTCTGAAACAGCAGAGGAGACACTGCTGGTGTCCTCCTGCAGGGTCTGTCCAGAGGTGATGGAGAAGGCGAGGATGATTGGAGGAGAGCTTTCTCTGCTGAGCTTCTTTGTGTTTTTCTGATAGTTCCTGTAACATGTTTCCTCTTCACTCCCTGAGCTGATGGAGTCCTCAACGAAGAAACGATGATCTTTGATGTTTTCCTTAAATGAGTCCATTGTACAAACAGTGATAGTAGCGCCACTCAGTGGTGACTTGGTGCACTGCAGTTATATTGAGCGGGATAATAACACATTAATAACACACTTTCTTTGTTCTTACCGCTACTGAAATAACATGAATTGGCCAAAGACTTACTTTACATTTGTCTCAAGCCTGTTTTATCAATATTCATAACTAGTGAGAGACATTAGAGTAAAGCAGCACCTAGCAAAGAAGCTAAAGTTCAAAAAATCTCGTCAAAATATCTCTGCATCTCTGTTGTACTCTATGTTACTTTACCGTATCTTAGTAGCGATTATCTCCTGTTATATACACTCTGTTTCCTCCATACAGTAGTGGGAAAATAGCTCTTAGCGAGTTTATATGCATGTGGCTATGATTAGCAGGAAACCGGAACTTCCGGTAAATGTTGGACGACTAAAATGTTACCCGGAGTTAGCAACACTTTTTGTTTCCGGTGTTACAGGCGACACCTGTATAATTAAGAAAGATGTTATATACATTTAATTTTATTCTAATAAATTCTAACTGTATTTATTACAGCAGAGTTTTTAATGTATGGTTTTGTTTTTTGAAGCAAAACGTTTAACATTCCCTTTTTTTTCTATTCTGAATAGACTTTATAGCCCTTTTCCTTCATTTATCACATTGCAGCCTTAAAACTTCAACGTGTTTTATTTCTAGTATATTTAATAAAGCTTCAACCGAACATCTTAAGGGAAGGTAGCGTGCCTCCTTCTCAAATGGATTTGAAGACTTTATCTATGTTTGTTTGTTTGTTTTATTTCAAGTGGGTGCCAGCTACAAAGAATGGATACAAAATTAGTCATAAAGGAGTAATAAATAAATGAAAAGGGAGCCTAAATAACTGAGTAATTCCATGTTACACAATCACAACAAAGTTTCGTTTCGTGAGGCTAAATGTAGAAAATAAAGATTGTGTAACATTTCAAATATACTATATATCATTTGTCTGGAGACAGCATTAAAAAAAAGATTTACTTAAAAATTATGGGGAAAATCACTTTATCTGTCATCAATCTTTGATAATCTGTAAGCCTATCATTAAAGCAAAAAAAAAAAAATAGATAGACAGCATTATAGATAACGATGGATTCTCTGTGGGTATATATTTCTAAAGTGGTGTAATGCTGCCTTTACATGTCAGAAAAATGTTGACTGTGACTGCAATATTAAGTTTTCTGATCTGAATTTCTAATCATATAGTAGAAGACATGGGCGTAGGTTTTCATAGGGACCAAAGGGACCTGTCCCTAACAAAATTTTGGACCGACCTACTTGTCTCTACCAACAATTACATGTGAAGAACATGTTTATGATTTACAATACAGCGTTGTTGTAGCAGTACAGGAGTTCTGGATGGAGAATATAGATAGACAAAAACATTTTTTTTAATCTAAAATGCAAAATGTTTATTTCTTTCTTTATTTATTTTTTACAATTTTGGTATAATTCCTGCTCCAAGTTGGTCACTTTGTGAGCTAAAGACATGTTTTAAAGTCTCTATACTCCAGTTAACGATTAATCGATTACTAAATTTGTTGACATTATTTCAATAATTGATTAATCCGATGAATTGTTTCAGCCCTAAATAAAATACATGAAATGGGTTAAACAGAGTAACTATAACCTAGATATACAACTTGTAGAGTGAATGTCAGTTCATCTTCTAGTTCCAGTGCACATGTAAATACAATACATGTATTTGGCATCCCTTGAATCTATTATTTCACTTTAATTCATATTACAAAGATAACATTTAAAAGATAAGAGTGGGTTTTACCTCTGTTTACCTCTGCACAATACTATATCTTCAAAATAAAAAAAAAGTATAAATACACATATAGCAGACATATTTAGACTATATTCTGTTAAATAGGCACAGATTTACCTACTGTCTTAGTCGCTGGTAATTTCAAATGCAAATCTTCTCAAAGTAGAAAAAAGTCCTAATTCCTCATTCATCAGAGCCAGTTAAGCTTCGGTCAATGATAAACAGCATCTAGTGTGTGCAGTGCTTATAACATTTGTATAAATGTAGAAATAAATGCTGTTTTTCTCTTTAAATGAAATACACCCTGATTTTCACGTCATGCATAAAAAAATAAGCATGCCTATTTTTGCATAGGAACAATGACATCAGACCAATAGTGTCCATACCAAAGTTGAAATCAAACTTACGCCGTTGGTAGAAGTATTTCTACTTGTAAAACTCCGTCTCCATCTATTTGTGCGTAAGTGCGCTCAAAGAAATAAAGAGCGCCTCCTCCCACCTGTGCGCTTATAGCTTTGGCCGCTCTCCACAGATCCGGTGCTGAAACCGCAGAGAGGCAGCCTTTGTTTAACTTTTTGGTTTTTAAATTTTGTATTTATTCGGTATTTTTAACTCCTATAGTTAATCACATACGTGTCTGTTTAAATAGCCGAGGGTATCTGACTTTGGATTTCTTTAAAGACAGGACGCCTGATCTAAGGTGTAGTTTTCTTGCTTCTGCTTTTATGTTTTAACGCCGGACTGTGGGCAGAAACACAAGTTTATTAGTTCATAGTGGGGGGTTTTGCGTTTCTGTGATGGACGTCACTTTTGGACTGGTTCCGTTCACCGTTACGCACAGTAAGTATTTAAACCTTAGCAGTAGTGCGCCTTTGCCTGTCTAAAGTTCTAACTGGGTGGTCTGGTTCTGCTCCCAGGGCTCGGTGGGTTCAATCAGCTCGGCGGAGTTTTTATCAACGGGCGGCCCTTACCGCACGAGGTTAGACAGCGCATCGTGGAGCTCTCACAGCAGGGCGTGCGCCCCTGTGAGATTTCCCGCCGCCTGCGAGTCAGTCACGGCTGCGTCAGCAAAATACTGACCAGGTAACAGCAGTTTGAAATGGATTCGCTCATATAGTAATTCATAAAGGTGTTTGCCATAAATATATTCTATTTTCTAATTCTTATCATGTCTGTTTTTACGAGGGCTTTGAACAGTGGCCAAAACCTTAAACATTTTATTTGATAGATGATCAAATAAACATATAGCCTTTGGTCACGTGAAGCTTTATTACATTTTACTCTAAGTTATAGCAGCTATTAATTGTTATTAACACTAATAATTTTTCTTTCCTTCCTTGGATTTTTTTAACTTTTGCTTTGAAATCTCTTTTTAAAAAATTGGGCATACATTTTTTTTAATATTTATTGGTTATATTGTTAAACTTTACACAACAAACAACGTTGATATTCAGAAAAAAAAATATCACCTGAAATTAATTCAATAACGTATTTTAAGATTTATGTTATTTTATTACAAAACCAATTCCCATTTGCTTTTTTAAAAATATATTTTAAAACAGCCCAATTAAATAAACCTTACACAATTCATATTCATCAGTTTGATATAACTTGTTTATTTGAAATACATTAATGATGTATGCTTAATCAAAATTAATACTAATGAGAGTATTTTTTTTTTCACATCCAGAAAATTTGTTGTTTGAATTGCATAATACATGCAATTCAATTTGCATGCATGTAAGGGTTGCCTCTTTATCCATACGTGTTGAAATGTCAACCATTCCTTGGCTTGTATCATTCTAATCTTCTCCAGGTACAATGAGACAGGAAGCATTAGACCGGGGCTGATAGGAGGCTCCAAGCCCAAGGTGGCAACCCCAAAAGTAGTTCAAAAGATTCTGCAGCTGAAACACGACAACCCCACTATGTTTGCCTGGGAGATCCGAGACAGGCTGGTGCTGGAACAAGTGTGTGATTGCAGCAACGTTCCCAGCATCAGCTCTATCAACAGGTAAGGTTTTTTTCAGTTGTTCTGCTTGGATCCACAGATCCGTGTTGATTGTTTTGGTCTTTGAAGGATCATCAGGAAGAAAATACAGGCAAAGCCATGTGAAGATGGTGAGTGTTTCCCTATCATCCTTCTAACTGTTCTACCTTTAGCCCCATACTTTGTTGTATCTCTACTTCATAGCATCATCTGTTTCTATAGGAGCAGACTGCCCCTTTGAGTCCAGGTTTTCAATGAGCGGGATTCTGGGACTCAAAAAACATAGCAAACAAAATGAAGGTGAGAGTTATTAACAGACATGTCCTCATGTAGGTAAAGTGAAATAGAAATGATAATCTTCTTTGTCTGGTTTAGTTTGCAGTAGGTTTTTCAGTTTGTTTTGAATCAACAAATTTGTCATTTTGAAATGTTCTATGTTTTATGGCTGGGAATTAGGATTTGATATGGCTATTCAGATACAGTAAGCTTTTGTTTTTATTTATTTTTTTATTTAGCCTTATTACTTGGTAGATTTCTTTGCACATTATCAGGGTGCCAGAAAGGCATGATGCAGTTGGTCCTGCAACCAGAGTTTTCAAAAAGCAGCTCTGTCTGTCTTGATGTCATGTGGTTAGATGGCACCTGGGTACGACAGCCTTGCCTTTGTCAATGTGCCCCAGGACAGCTGTGGCTACAATGGAGCTTACCACCATCAGTGTTTGAATGACTTAAATTTGTATAAAGTGCTTTGGAGTCCCTTGACTTGAAAAAGGCACAATATAAGAACAGGACAATTAACGTTTTTTTGATATACAATGAGGAAAAAAAGTATTTGAACACCCTGCTATTTTGCAAGTTCTCCCACTTTGAAATCATGCAAAAGTGCATGTCCTCTGTGAGAGACATAAGTAAAAAATAAATCCAGAAATCCCAATGTATGATTTTTAACTATTTATTTGTATGATACAGCTGCAAATAAGTATTTGAACACCTGAGAAAATCAATGTTAATATTTGGTACAGTAGCCTTTGTTTGCAATTCCAGAGGTCAAAAGTTTTCTGTAGTTTTTCACCAGTTTTTCACACTGCAGGAGGGATTTTGGCCCACTCCTCCACACAGATCTTCTTTACATCAATCAGGTTTATTGGCTGTCACTGAGAAACACAGAGTTTGAACTCCCTCCAAAGATTCTGAATTGGGTTTAGGTCTGGACTGTGGCTGGGCCACATCAGAACCTTGATAATCTTCTTCCAGAGCCACTCCTTGGTTATCCTGTGTGTTTCAGGTCATTGTCATGTTGGAGGACCCAGCCTCGACCTACCTTCAATGCTCTAATACAATACATGGCCCCAGTCATCCTCTCCTTAATACAGTAGAGTCGCCCTGTCCCATGTGCAGAAAAACACCCCCAAAGCATGAAGCTACAAACCCCATTCTTCACAATAGGGATGGTGTTCTTGTTCTTCTTCCTCCTAACACAGTTAGTGGAATTATGACCAAAAAGTTTTATCTTGGTCTCATCTGACCACATGACTTTCTCCCATGACTCCTCTGGATCATCCATATGGTCATTCACAACCTTAAGGCAGGCCTTGACATTTGCTGGTTTAAACAGGGGAGCCTTCTGTGCCATGCATGATTTCAAACATGACGTCTCAGTGTATTACCAACAGTAACCTTGGAAACGGGGGTCCCAGCTCTTTTCGGGTCATTGACCAGCTCCTCCCGTGTAGTTCTGGGCTGATTTCTGACCTTTCTTAGGATCATTGAGACTTTATCAGCTGAGATCTTGCATGGAGCTACAGTCTGAGGGAGATTGACAGTCATGTTTAGCTTCTTCCATTTTCTAAAGATTGCTCCAACAGTGGAGGTGTACAATTTTGTCTCCAGTGTCTTTGTACAACTCTTTGGTCTTGGCCATGTTAGTAGTTGGATTCTTACTGATTGTATGGGGTGTAAAGGGGCCTTTATGCAGCTAATTACCTCAAAAAGGTGTATGTAATTTAGGATAATAAATGGAGTGGAGGTGGACATTTTGCTGGCAGACTAACAGGTCTTTGAGGGTCAGAATTCTAGCTGATAGGCAAGTGTTGAAATACTTATTTGCAGCTGTATCATACAAATAAATCGTTAAAAAAACATGTTTAGATTTTTGGATGTTTTTCTTTTAGATTATATCTCTCAAAGTGGCCCTATGGTGACAATTTCACACCCCAGACCCATTTCTAATGGGGAGAACTTGCAAATTAGCAGGGTGTTGAAATACTTATTTTCCTCACTGTAAAGGCTACAAATATACAGGATTTAGAAGAAGTTATATCAGTGTTTTTTTAACATAACAATACAATACAGGAAGAAAAAATTAGTTTTTTTAAATGCCTGTTGAGCTAAAATATTATTTGTCAGATTATTATCCTTCCTTGTCGGTCAGGGTCCTGGGGGGCTGGTGCTTATGTCCAGCACTCTTCAGGTGAAAGGTGGGTTACTCCCCAGCAAAGCAGAGACACAGAGACAGATGCACACAATCGTGCACACAGGGAGAAAATGCAAACCCCATGTTACAAGGATCCGTGACCTTCTTGCTGCAAAACAAAACAGTGCTACAAGTTGTACCACCATGCAGCCTCAGAATATTGATATTATTGTGATCATTTTTCTAATTAGAGATTTATAGATTCATTTTTATCAAATAGATCTAAAACTGTAGGTTTTATATTCAGGCCTTAGGTAATTGCGCCTGTGTCTGACTGAAACTTTATCCATCTTCACCGCTAGGTTTTTTAAAATTTGATCATTTGTAAGGATGTGATCATTGTTATGGTGCAACATTTTGTCCATATTAACCTGTCGACTCTTAAACTGATCTAAACTGATACCTATGTGTTCAGTTTACATCTAAACTGGTTAATTGGGGAGTGTTGGCCTAGTGGTTAGAGCAGTGCACTTGTGCTCTGAGAGGGTTGCAAGTATCCGGTTAGATCCCCACAGCCTGCACTCTGGGTCCCTGAGCAAGACCCTTAACCCCACACTGCTCCCTGGATGCTGCATAGTGATGCACATCCCACTGCTCTCCAAGGGGATAGGTTAAATGCAGAGAGTTAATTTCTCCATTGTGAGATCAATACAATTCTAAAAAAAAAAATATATAAATATATATATATATTGCTAAAAGAGGTTTATTCATCACTGTCAAGGACAATAGTTTTTAGGATTTATTGATTATGTTTCTGTGTTTATTGACATATATTTCTATGCAAAATCAATTTCTTTTCATCTGATAAACATGTAAAAACAGAATATAAGATCAAACTGTTTCTAGGATCAAGAGTAATTGACCATAGGTAGCTATGAAAATGATTTACATCTTTTGTTTTAACTCACTTGTGGCCATTCTGCATTGTCCTATCACAGACAGTTCACACATATGTTGATGGTTCCAAATGTTTTTATTTTAGCTGGGAGCAAAGGTAAACTTAACAAATATTTTAGTACCTAGGTCTATTTGCCTGTGATTCAAAGATCGCAATGAATGCATACTTTTCTGCATGCCATCCGTATTGTTAATTTTACATGCACGGAATGGAAAATGTCAGACATACAGATCTCAAAGCGGAAAATAACTGTTTAGCAAGAATGAATGATTAACACAAGAACGGTATTTGTAAAAATGGTTTCTAACTAGAGACCACATAGAAGATAATGTGCTTTATGTTAGCATTAGTCCAGCATAAGCAGCAGGAGGGCCATTTCTCCTCCCCAGGTTTCCATCCTCCTCCCTGCCTCCCATTCCATCACAAAGAGCATTAGAATAGGAAGCTGCAGAGACAAATAAGCATAGTTATGTATATGAATACACCCCTTCATAGGGGTGGTTTTTCATTCTTCTAATTAGAATAAATGAAGGTGGAAATAAAGATAAAAGTAAGTCTATGCTGATTCTGTTCTGTTTTCCAGGAGCAGATGTGTCCTGTGGTGAGCACCACACCCAGAACTGTTTTAACACCTGGAGTAGATCTGACATCAGCTCAGCATTTCACCATCAGCTGCCAGCTAACAACGTTTCAGACGTCAGTCTGCACTGATATGTGATCACACATAAGAGGGGACTTCTGCTGGATCTTTTTCCTTGGATCTTTATTCACCACAGGAAGAGAATTCACCATGTTTGGATTCAGAGCAAGCATGTTAGAATCAAACACATCCATTTTCCTCGTTTGTTGTTATTTATTTACATAATTTGGACCAAAAAAAAACAAACAATGCTGCAGTGATCAGTTCATTTCGTTAGGACCTGTCCCTGCGGTCGTTTTCTGCTCAGTCAGTGGCTGAAAATCAGCATCATTAGAGCTTTGTGATGGACAACATTGGCTGCTTTTTGTCCTTTGTGTCCAATTCCCTCGCCTGCCCTTGTGGATGAGGAATCTTGGAAAAAAAGGAGCCACTGAAGGGACCAGCAGGGTGAAAGTAAACATCAGATCAGTCCAGTGTGAAGGCATAAACCTGCAAACAATCTAGAGTTCTGTAACTTAAAGAAATCCAGACTTATTGTGTCCTTTTTTACAATGCATGTATAATGTTTGGATTTACAGTAAGAGGTGTTGTGCACTTGTACACATTTGTTTTAATTAATATTTAATCAAATAACTTTTGGTTAGTTATATGTTTCCCTGTGAACACAGACCCAAGTGGCTGTGGGTTAGAACAATAGATGAAAGACGGACTCAAGCTCAACCTTGCTAAAAAAGTTAACTCTGCACACATATGCAGTAAATTTATAGAAACAGTCATTTTAAATAAAATAATTTACTAAAAATTATCATTCAACTTCAGGTTAAACATATTTTAGCCTTATTTTTTTTTTAACAAAACTAATAAGGGAAAAGGAGACAAATGAAAATGGGCGAAAACCATTACCAATAAAATAATGCTTTTATATCACAGTTTAGTATGGGTTTTATGTTTGAGAACTAAAGTTTATTTAGAAAAATTTAGAACAAGACCAGCAGTCTACAGTGGAGCGGCATGTAACCGAGTGCAAATCAGTCAGAACACAGTGGCGTAGCTAGAAAATATCTATACGGCACCAATGGGGGGGCAATTCACACTTTACCAATGGAAAAATGAATGAGCACAACATCCTTAATTTCCAAGGGGAAAATAGACAAACCAGATCTTCCTAAAAGCCTGCTAATAAATAAATGTATATATTTACACGTCCAAGATGTCTAAATTTAAGATTTATTTAAGAATGTTCTTTCAGATTCAAGTTCTGGAGGGAACATCTTATCTGTTGTTCATGTCTACTATAGTATTACGTCTATTATAATAATATTATTGTGTAAATATTAATATTCACATATACTAACAAATACATTAAATTAATTTAGTTGTTTTTATCTTTAATTACATAGAAGACTCCTAAATGACTTGCAGAGACACTTCAATTTCTCTTCTACTCCATAAAACACAAAAACTAGTTCTGAAAAGAGCATTAAATATTTTAACCACTCTAGTTTTGCTGTCATTTATTGTTAATATACAAACAATAAAAATGTTAAATTAGTTTACTGCTTGTAAGTTATGCCCACGTGGGATCACATGGTTGGGGTGGCCAATGATAAGCTAATGATGACCATGGCTAAGGATGTCCTCCCATCCAGCTCCAACCCAGATGAACATCAGCTCCTCCAAGTCTATGGTAGGTGGCTTTTCAGGTCATAGGAGAGTTCCTGCCATAAAGGGGGGAGTTTAAGTATGTTGAGGTCATGTTAACAAGTAAATGGCGAAAACAGAGTAGGAGATTGACAGATTGTTGCCACTGTTGTTTTGAAGACAGAGCTGAGCCAAAAGGCAAAACTCTCGACTTACCAGTTGGTTTACTCGCCTACCATCACTAATTGTCATGAAATCTGGATTTTCCTTAAAGAAAAAGGTCCTGGATATAAACGACTGAAATAAGCTTCCTCGGCAGGGTTGCAGCAGCTCATCTTATAGGGTTTGGTCATCTGGAAGAGCTGCTTCTCCTCGAAACCAGGAGGAGTCAGCTGAGATGGCTCTGACATCTGTGTTGGATGCCCCCTGGATGTCTCCCTCAGAAGGTATGTCCCACTGGGATGAGGCCCAGCCCAGGACACAATAGAGGGACCATAAAAATCAGCTGACCCTGGAATGTCTCAGCTTCTCCAAGAGGAGCTGGAGGAGGTGTCTGGGGAGAGGGAAGTCTGGGAGTCACTGTTGAGACTGCTGTACCCGTGACCCCAGTCTGGGATAAGTGGAACCAGTTTGGTAAAATGATCATTTAAAGAAATATCTGTCTATGCAGAAATCAATTACTGTTTAGATAATTGATTCTTAATCTCCAGATTATTCTTAAAGGAATAATTTTAAGGGGAACCTTTGACAATATCTGGGAACCTCAAACCGAAGCTCAGTGACTTTAAGTGTAATGAGCAGATCAGAAAAAATAAAAAGGTTAAGATAATTTTAGAGTTTAAAACTTTTATGAAATAAAATTTGTCATTACTTTACAAATAAAATGTAAAATATATTAACACCTGGTTAAAAAGCTCTTTGCTGAAGCTCTTAGCTCACCTATCAACTTTTTAGTTCAGTTTTTAAAGTATAGTAAGAACTCATCAAACACAATCAGACAATTCAAACAAAATAGTTAAGCAGGAAAGAACTTTGATTGCTTTAAGAGGAATGTTGGCCTATTGGTTCGAGCAGTGCGCTTGTGCTCTGAGAAGGTTGCAAGAACCTGCTTTGATCCCCACAGCCTCCACTCTGGGTCTCTGTGCAAAACCTTTAACCCCCAACACTGCTGCCTGTGCGCCACACAATGGCGGCCCACTGCTCCCTGAGAGAATGGGTAAATGCAGAGGTAAATTTCTCAAATAAGAGATCAGTTATTAGTTACCAGGCTTTACCGTAGTTTTCACAGTTCTGATGAAGATGAGGGATATCCAGTGGTCAGGAAAAGTTTAGGTCAGTGCTGGGAGAGCCTGCTGTGTTCTGCTGTAGAGGTTTCTAGCTGGCTTGTGACTCTATGACTGTCATGCTCTTAATTTTTCTTCTTACTGCAAAATTCTGCGAGAGAAAGATGCAGATAGCCAGGTCTGCGGCTATCTGTTGTGCTCGTTTGAAAGCAGACCATGCTTAATTTTTAATATAGGAATTTCATCCCTTCCCTGCAGAGACATTTTTCTCCTTTATGTAGAGAGAACCACTGATCAAAAGAGGTCTCTGTGTTGGGAACAGGGGCTTACTGACAGCCAGTTACCAGGATCATAGGAGCCCCTTTGTTTCAGTGTATATGGCGTTTTAACATCAGTTTACAGCCTGAAAAATAAGGTATTTCCCTCATGTTCAATATTGCATCTATATTCATATTTATCTCATAGCTGTGAGGCACAAAGAAACAAACCTATTATTAACTATTTAATACCCCGGTAACTTTATTCTCTCAGTATGACTTAAGCAACTCAATTTTTTTTCGAATTATAATAGTTTCAAAGTTAACAGTCCAAAGTCAGAACTGCTCCAATTTGAAACTCTGGGAATCACCAATAAACCTGCAGTCTGACAGCGAAAATCTCTGTCTATAATACATGAAGCCATTGATTATTCAAGATTAGATGTTGATTCATTATTCAGAACTTAAAGTGTAAGAATCTCATTTTTTATTCCGGCTGGACCCTAAACGTCTATGTTCTACTTTAGGTAAAGTCTTTTTAGTGCTGTTTTATAGGGATCCTGAATGTGAAAAGTGTCAGACTTTACTCGTGAAATTCATTTAAATGCCTTTTTTATTAAGACCAAATGCACCATTAAGGGGATGATGCAAATACACCCATAAGCAAATTATTAATTTTTTTATTTTATGTTGGTGCTGAGACACTAGGGGGCATTGTTCACATAGACATTAGGCTATATAATGCCCTATGGTTCCTATCTTCACTGTGTTTATAAAGTCAAAGTTGTGCCACAAAGCTATGGAGGACACTTGATCCTTCCTCATTGAAAATCAGGAAACACTTCAATGTATATTTAATTGATCTATGGAATGGGACCAAATAGATCCATGTCTAGTTAATTTGTTAATGCCTCTGTTATGATTAGTTCAGTATTTAAAAAAAGTATTTTTTTAGGGACCCCAAACAATTAAGATTTTTACTCAAGTATTTCCAAACAAATTTCTCTTTTTTTTTTTTACACTTGTGTAAACAAAATGACAAATAGAATCTAAGCCTAAGTCTAAGTCTTTATATAACAACCTACACCGTGTTCAATGGAGAAATGAACTGGCCTTTACCAGGTTCTAAAATCATTTGGATCCAACCTCAGGTGTTTAAAACCACAGTGAAAAGTTTTTACTGTCTTTATCTATTTATAGAAGAATAAAGCCAACATAGGCACATTTGTGATCATTGTAGCTCAATTAACTAGTCTTCATATGTCTAAAACCCATAAAGTATGTATGAATCATCTACAGTAGCTCATATAGGGTCACTCAGCATTGTCCAAAGATAAATTAAATTAGAGAAACAATCCAAACTCAGAAATGTGCACATGATTGGATCATTAATGTTGAACATTTGATACCTAATTTAGTGTGAAAATAATCATTAGCATATCTAAATATAAAAGAACACAGAAGAAATTTTAGATTAAAAAAAAAGCTTAAAAATACTTTGAGAAACATCCAGGACACTTTAGAATCAATATCTTCCTTCATTAATAAGTTAATTAAATATGTAATTTCCCCCAAAAAGGAACTTAGTTTGGTTTCATCCAGATGTTCAGATAAAAACTTTTTTTTTATGTCATAACTGTCAACAATGGGTAGTGAGGTTGCTTTAGGACCCAGATGCAGAGATGAGTGAAGCAGAGATGACTTCTGACAGATTTAATGGAAGAACACAGGAAACAGAGGTACAAATCCAACTAAAATGTTAAACAAACCAAAAAAAACCATGGAGACATCAGGGGAATACGAACCTGAGGAGCCACGGAGAGACGAGCTGAGTAGACAAGTACAGCAATGACAAGGAACCAGCACTGAGTGACTTCAGAGGTGGAGTATTTAAGGAGAACAGAACAAAGGATGGACTTTGGGGCTGAATAAGGAGCAGGTGTGGGTGGAACTGGCAAGAAGGAATCCAAGGGGAAAGAAAACAATCACAAGGGGGCAACAGAGAGTAACTAAAGAATGCTTGAATATGATGGAAAATAAATCAACAAACAAAACAACTGATAACAGAACACTGAAAACTCAGAGTCACAACAAATGGGAAGAACCATAACAATAACCCCTTAGGCTGCGATACAACATAAGCTTGGAGTGTTTTCTAATCAACTGCTTGTTTCAAACGGGACTTATTACTTTATGTCTTTTTATCGTATTAATTATTATTATTCTTATTTTACCTTATTTAGCCTACTAGTCTAAATGCTATTGAGTTTAAAGAGAAGATAAGTCTAAGGTCCTCCTGAAACGCCTCCATTTTATAAAACATTCAACAAACACCTTAAAAAAACGGTTTCTCATAGTTTGGAAGAGTAAGATTTTATTGTGGGATTCCTCAAAGCTCCATACTTGTTTTACTTTTATTCGACAGTCACTTCAAACAGTAGCTCAAACTATAGACTACGATATACAGTCATTTGTAGGTCAGCACATTTAATTTAATTCAATAATTCTTTATTGATCCCAAAGAGAAAGTAAACAATGGACTGAAATTTTAATTTTGTAGTCCAAACGAATCAACCTCCATGTTAGAAACAGTTCCAGAATGAATGGTTTTCTCTAAAAAAAAAAATAAAACAAAATAAAATAAAAGAATAAAAGTGCTTTTCAGGCTTTTATTGTCAGTTTTTTAGAATATTATCTATAACATTCTCTGCCAGATCATTCAAATTCTTCTGCTAACATTGGGAAAAATTATTATATTATACTATATTTTATATAACTGTGCTGAATGGTCTCTGGGCCTTTCAGAGCTGCTGATCAGATATGAATCATTTGGATCCCTTAGGCTTTTTGAGACTTTCTTATGCGCTTTTTTCCGGGACCTGATCTAAGCAAGGCAAGGCAGCCTTCAGTTTTATTTTCCTCTAGAACACATTTTATAAAAAGATCAACCGTTTCAGATCTTGACTAAAACCATGGATGGTGCTTAAGATTTAAAATTGGTCTCCCAGTATATTTTTATATTTGTAATAAGCGGCCGGTTGAAAATTTGTGAGTTCCAAGATATACATTAGGAGTTAATTTACTTTGGATACCAACAGTAATAAAAAGATGTATGTAAGCTGCAGAAGATTACAAACTTTATGGCCTGAGTAATAAAAGTCTGTTTGTGTGATTTAAAGTAATTAAACTTAACTGATCTCACATTGGAGAAATTTACCTCTGCATTTAACCCTTCCCCTGGGGGAGGAGGGGGCTGCCACCGTGAGGCGCCTGGGGAGCAGTGTGGGGTTAAGAGTCTTTGCTCAGAGACCCAGTGTGGCAGTCTGTGGGAATGGGGCTCGAACTCAGAACCTCAGAACTCTAAGCTCTATATCATTAATTGAATAAATGACCCATTATTGGATTTTTTTTTGTGGATTAGTACAAATTTAAATGATGCTACACAGTAAAGTGAATAAGTTAAAACTGAAAATGGTTACTCTCTAATTACACTTCTATATGCTTACAAAAACTGAACAAAGTTAAACAAAATTCTAACACTTTAGCAGTTCTGGATAAAGCAGATTTACACATTAGGTTACTGGAAACCCCCAATGCTAGTAACACCTTAAAATCTACAGTAATAAATACAGAGGTTTTAACAGTAACATATTGTAAATCTTATAAAAAGAGTACTGTAAAATAACAGTAAAATACCCTCAGCCCAGGTGCCAGTATATTACTGTCAATAATGAAAGGCATTTATTTGCAGGCTACTTTTTATCTGAAATTTATAGCAGCAGCTGTTTGAAGTAGAGATTAAAGTAAATCAATAGTATCAATAGTTCAGGAATTTTCACAAAGAGAAATTGGAGCCTTATTTTGTAGTGTATCATATTTTCTCCTTTTTAGTTTTAAGGTATTTTGTTGGACAGCAATAAAGTACTAGGTTTTCATTTATCTAAACTGCAACAGCCGTATATCTACTCACACCTTGTTTTTATGATAATAATTAATCCATCCTGCATTTTTCAGGGAGTCAACTTGAAAGAAAAGCATGGATTTGTTTGAACAAACACCAACACACTTTATTGCACCTGAGTAGGTTGTGCATATCATCCTGACTTGTGCTTGGGACAAAGTACAAAGGTTGATCATATTTGGGAATTTTTCTTTTTTTTCTTGCACTAACTACTTCCTTCTTTGTAAATCAGCACATGGCTTCCTTATTCAAAGCCAGAGCAGCTCTGAGATTGCATGAAAAAAAGTGATCGCAGCAGGTTTATGGAGAGGTAATAATCTCAGGCAGTAAATCAGGGCAGTTAAGCTCCCACAAAACCAGAAAAGCTCAATTTTCCCAGGACTCAGCTGGACAGCCTGAGAGCTGAGACCAACCAGACAAGGAGAGGAGGAAACTAGCAGATTCTGTGGAAATGGGGACGGTAAAGAACCTCAGAGGTGTCATCAAGAGAAGGGAGACGATCACAGCTTTACCTCTCTACTACGCTGGAAACCTGCTTAAGAAAGGATCTAAAGAGAAGGTAGAATTGTTAAAGCTTAAATTATGCCAAAAGTGGAGATTTCCAAACACAGAAAGTTTTTATTAGGGAAGGTATTTTTCATTATGGATTTTTCTACCTGATGAATTAAAAACTTCAAGAGTTACCTCGATACAGAAGCCAAACTATTGTATATATTCTTCTTTGTATTTTAGAATGTTTTACAAAAACTGAAAAATATGATAAATATTTAGTCATAAAAGCAATCTTTCTGAATGCTTGGTTAAAAGTGTTGCTAAATTTTCAGATAAATGAATTGAAACATCAGCTAGTAAAGGAAAGAAAATAACTTTAGTCTATGAGATGCCCCAGGAGGAGTTTCTTTATTTTCATTTCTGTGCAAAGGTTCAGTTTAATCTGAATGAGTAATCTAGAATAACTTTCATAACTTCCAGGACTTCAAGAGTTTTTATGGGGAGCTCAGAGGATCAACGCTGTTCCTTTATAACAATGAAACACAAGAAACGGTAAGTGCACAGCCAAAGTCTATATTTTAGAAAGTTATGTAATCACATTTATTGAATTATGTTTTCTGGAACCATGTTGCCAAAATCAGAAATCAAATAAATCCAGTAGAAGGGCAATAAGGAAGTAGCCTACATGTTTGCTTACAGTATATCTAACTAATTAAACCGCCATGTGACTGGCTGCCTGTTTTTTTTTTTTTTTCAGTACACGGAAAGGCTAGACCTGGAGCTGCTGAAGTCCTTGGAGCTGGAGAGTCCTTACAAAAAGACAACACCTACCATTATCACCTTAAGTTTGCCCAAAGAGGAGGTGCAGTTAAAGGTTTGTAAAATCTTAAACTGACTCCACATACATCACAAAAAAAAAGCACAAACGAATTGAATTATTTGAAAACATTTTGCACAGTTACTCTGGGAGTTTAAGTTTTAAATAGGATTCAGGACTGGGGGGTGAAGCAGGCATTAAAGATATGTATAACTTTATAGAGCTGGCCATAGTGTATCAATAATCATATCTGTAGGTGACCAATGCATGACCCATACTTTAGACTTCATTGGTTCTTATTTGAATATCATTTAAATGAATTCATGATGCAAATCTAACACTTCATCATATTTAACACGGGTCATGAGGTGATTTTTCATATATATTTGCTCTGTTTTACACACAACCCACCAACCCATCAAATAATTAAAATACTTAAATACATTGTTCTTTTAAGATCTTTATTGCGGTTTAAAACATATTATAGAAGTGTATTTTTTTTAACCAACCGTCTAATTAACTATACACAGTTATTAACATAGTAATTAAAAGTACCACTGTCTGTTTTGCTATTGGTGTCATGTTTAAACAACCATCCTATTGAAATCTGGCATGTGTTGCAGTATAAATACTTCAGTAATAATATAAATAGCTTCAGTATCAGGTAGATTTAAGAAGAATTTTTCGCACCATTATATCTGCAAAAAGACGTCATAGTCTACAATTGCGTAGAGGGCCTACCAGATGTCAGTGTTGGGGCCCCTAAGAGGTCGGGGGCCCTTAAGCAATAGCTGTCTGTGCCTACCGATAGTTACTCCATTGACTGTTTAGTAAACTCCACACATTACCTTTTGTAATGGCAGGAAAGAAATTAGTCTTTTACTGCTGTGTCTACCAAACAACCTATTGGCCAGCAGCCGGCATCTAAAGAGTGTTTTTGAAGGACCTGGAGTCATTCTTCAGTCGTGAACTTTGGAGTTTCTAATCTATTCTTATATTCAGTGGTAATAAACAAACAAACAAACAAAAAACTTTGTGTAATGTTAAACAGCTTGGATTATGAGGTACTAAGCTAACTACTAAGAAGCTCCTAAAAACACTTTTTTGTCAGGGGTTCCAAAAAATTGTACCATTTGTGGGAAATGTGTGTGTGTGGGGGTGAGCATTAGAATTAGTTACCTTGTGAGGACAGTGTACAGTCAATTTTTCAGCATTAGGCTACATTGACGGGATTTACAGGTAGTTGTGAGGATGAGTTAACTGGTCCCCATTAGGCCATTTCTTATTGGATTAGGGTTAGGTTTAGGACTAATAGACTGAATAGACCTCAGTGCCAACATAACCAATCATATATGTTATTGTGCGTGTGTTGTCTTTTAATTATATTATTAATTATTAATTATTATTTTCTCTGATCATGCAGATGGACAATGCTGACACAGGAGAGGAATGGAGAGGCTACATTTTGACAGTGGTTAATGTAAGTCTACATCTAAAAAACATGAGATATATGAGCTTAAAAACTTCTATCTTGATTAACACTAGTTGGAAAAACTTTTCACAAAGGGATTTGTCCCCTTTTTGACTTTAGATAAAATGCAATTGTAGCAGCATTTCTGGAGGCATCATTACCTTCTTAGCAGCCAGCCAACCATTGACTTTAAAACAACATCAATGCAGAATATAAGCAATGAAAATGACTAAAATTTTGGTTTGTTCCTGATCAAATGCAGTACAAATAAATAAGATAGCAGACTATTAGTGTGCTTTAAAAACTGCCAGTTCAATAATAATCTGCTAAAATGGTTTCTATGTACTAACATTGTCATGTAAAGAACAACACAGGTAGAAATTTGCTTAAAGGTGGGTTATTTTGCCATTGTCCTTCTGCCAGAGCTACATACAGTTAATATCACTTCGTCAGTTTCTCTGCTTATGTAAAAAATGCAGCACTCTTTTGGGGCTGCTTTGTAAAATAATTCTGGATTTAAGATACAATGGGCTTGATCTACTGAAGGTTTTCATGTATAAAAACAAGTGCAAACTTTACGGCGAGTGCAAAGCTGATCTACTTACTGGTTCCACCAAGGATTGTGTCTGACAAATGAACAAAAGGCTGAGGTGGAGCCCGTCACAAATAGAACCCTTACATATTTTCTATGGAAAGACTCCTTCCAACACCATGCACATTTAATTGCACCATTGCAAACTCTCCATGGTGGTGGTCAGTTGCACAAAAAACACTATATAATTTACATCACTTTTGCACCTCTTATCAGTTGCAACAAATCCATGAATATCACTGGCATTTTTTTAAGCTTGACTTCTCAATAGCTCTTAGCACAAGGCCCCTAGTTTTTTGGCTTCCAAAGCTAATCAGTATCAAAAAGTTAAACTCTGTATAAAAATGGTTTCTAACAACATATTGCAGAAGTTTCTTCTTAAGATCACTGTAAGATCATTATTCATCAATCAAAAAACAATTTTTAAGTCAAACAAAGTTGTAAAGAAAACAAACATTTCCTGGTTCATTGTTAAAGCTCTATCAAAGAAAATTTCCCTTCAAAATTTTGTACCAGAATAAACAGACTAAGTTAAAACTTAAATGGTTTGCTGTATTTAATATACTGCACTATCTTTTAAAGTGAGTTGATTGTCTGAGGCTGACAGCTTTGTCATATCTAATCCATATCCCATTACAGAAAGAGATTCCCAAAAACCTTCAGATGCTTCCTGGTCAGAAAATAAGGCTAGAGGAGACGCTTTCTGAGGAAAAGAAAAGAGCAACCAAGCTGGATCGCCCTGCTCTTCCACCTCGACCCAGCTTCATGCAGGCCAAAAGCACTTCAGAACCCAAAACACCTGCGTGAGTTAAATCAAAGGAGCTTCCAACCTATCATCCAATACATCATGTTTGAATGCGTATCCAAACACAATGTAAAAAATAAACAATTAAACTGCATAACATCTATTTTAACTATCTATGAAGCAGTTTTCTATTTTCTCATAGACTTTCTTCCAGTAAAATTAGGATTCAATAGAAAGAAAAATGGTTTTGGTTCCTTTTCAAGAAGATTAAGAAATAATAATACTGAAGTATTATGCCTGACAGTATTCACATTGTTAGATTTCATTTTTCTGCATGTTTTATTGAAAAAAAAAAAAAAGTATTATTCTTCCTAGACTGAAAAGGAAAAATGTATATTGGCTTTCTTTGAACCCTGCAGCTGTTTCTTCGACGTGACTCGACAAGAAGCCGAGAAGATGCTTGATTCCAACCCAGAGAATGGGAACATCATTCTCCGCCCATCCACCATGCCCAAAAACTACGCCCTGACGCTCAGACAGCCTACGCCACGGTTTGTTCAAACTAATTTTATCCAGCAGCTCTGATTCTCCCTCAAAAGTTAGAAAAAAATTTATTCTTTAGATGCCATTTTTTAGGTTCAGCAGAAGCAAAAGTGTAGGATAGAAAATATCAAACAGAAAAAAATCAATATCTATCAGTTAGAACTTATTTCAGTATATAAATTCATAGTGATGGTGTTATCTTTATGTCTATTCTGTTTCAGTGGGCCCGTCTTCAAGAACTACAGGGTGACCTCCACCAGCTCTGGCTATGTGATTGAACTGGATAATCCAGTAAGTCTAAAAGACTTGTACTCAAAGTTGAACAGCTGTGCTCACAGTACACAGCTGGGTACGTCTAAATCGCTTTATCTGTACAGCAGCAATGTACATTGCTGCTAATCTGAAGGCAATTTAAGATGTCGATAAAATCAAATCATACAGACAGATTAGTTAAAAATCTTATGGGAAAATCCAGCTGATTGCATTGAGTCACTGGCTTTGCAGAATTCACCCATGGATGAAAACATGGAGACAATGGACAGTCCCTGGCATTGCAGCAATCTCTCATACAGAGCATGCATGTAGCGACAGTGGGGAGAGAAACGGACATCAAAACCAGGCTCAGGGTGAACAAACATCAGAGGTCTACTAATGGTTTAAGCCAGGCATGCACAAAGTCGATCCTCCAGGGCCACTGTCCTGCAGGTTTTACAGGTTTCCTTGCTTTAGCTCAGCTGATTCTGATGACTGCAGTTCAGCAAAAGCCTGTTAATAATCTATCAATGATAACCAGCTGTGCTGGAGCAGAGAAGCCTCTAAAACCTGCAGGACAGCGGCCCTAGAGGATCAACTTTGAGCATGCCAGGTTTAAGCAAAGCATACACACAGAGGGACATAGGTGAACTGATCTAAAAGTGATTTCTCTATGAGAGAAAGGTCTCGTCTAGGAGAAAAATACAGCTAAACAGTACAAAGCTTGCAGTCAAGTCTAAAAGATGAAAGTCTATATCGAGTTAGTTTTAATAAAAGCTCAGCTAATGGCTGTGATTATAAAGGCGACAGGGTTAACACCTGTAAGACAGGACCAAGTGTATCATCTGTATAAAAGAACATAGGCTAGATGGAGCTACTATGAAGAGAAAAAAAGAAGAGCAGAGGTCAATGAATTCACGGTGGGGTCATGAAGGGTAAAAAAGAGAAGGTTGATGTGGAGAGATGTGGGGGAGGCTAAAGGAAACAGGGAGAACCATCTGACTGGGCTAAAGTAAATTAAATTACAGGTTTAAAGATTTGAGAGTAGTAAGAACACCCAAGCCCTAAGCGGTTTTGTTTAAAAACATCCATAAAAACAGAGATTAATACATTATCTCCACCACCAAGGTTCATCTAGGATCCTTCGATGAAAGCATCAGCAGGTATTCAGATTCCAGTCATGTGTGGTAGGCCTATGGAAGTATACCTACAGACGAAGCTCAGGATAACCTGAGCCACTAACTGCAAGCTTTGCCGAAAAGGAAAGCAGACATGCTGGAAGTTGGTTCCACCAGAGAGGAGCCTGGAAGCTAAAGGTTCTACCACTCATTTTATTTTTAGAACCTATACTGTAGGAACACTAAATCTGCTGTCTGGCAGTGAAGACGTTTTTCAGGAACTTAAGAAACAATCTGATCTCTGATGTATGATAGAGGTTTAATATTAGCAGCATTATGCTATATGAGGGAGGAGAATTTTAAATCCTGTTCGGAATCCAGTGAAGGAAAGTTCAAATAAGAGACAATTGATCTCTTTGATTTCTATCAGACCTGTGGCTGTGGTGCTATAGATCAGGCTTTTAACTGCATTTTGTGGACTTCCTAACAGTGAAGAATTAAAATAGTCCAGCCTTGAAGTAACAAATGCAAGGAACAGCTTTTCAGAAAATCCAAAACTTAAGCAAAGGGTTAGTCTTTGAATATAGTGTCTGTCTCCAGTTGTCATAGGGTGAGAGGTGGGATACACCCTGTACAGGTCACCAATCCATCACAGAGGAACACAGGAGAAACTACCATGCTTACACATACTCACTACCAAGGACAGAGCTAGCAAGGAACCTGGAGTATCCAGAGAAAACACACAGTTACGGGGAGAATGTACAAACATCATGCAGAAATACTCCAGGCAGGGAATGAAGCCTAAAGACCTGCTTTAAGGCAGCAGTGTACACAAATGCAGCCTTATTACATAAAAAGGCTATCAGAAGAAAACTTGCAATATATTTGCAAACAATTGTTAAAAAAAAAAAAAACTAACTTTTATTAGTTTAATTTCTAAAAAATATAAGTCCCACACCATGATTTAAATTACAAGTTCAAATCTTCCTGAAGAGTTACATCCTAAGATATTTGGAACATAACTAAATTATTTCGAAGCTCCTGATGTTCCTTTCGTGTTGTAGTTTTATAAATCATTTAAATGAAGAGACAAACTGAGGTGAAGCTGAGCACTGGAATAAAATAATTTAAAGGACAAAAAACAAATCGGGCAAATGGAAGAATCTAACAGAAAACATTTATAAACTGTGAGCTACTAAACTAAGACTGGGATGGAAGGTGATCAGTAAACCAAAAGAGCTTATTAGAAGTAATCAGCTGAGGCAGAGTAAAGGCAGAGCAGCTGAAGGAGAAAGACTAATTATTAAGAAAAAAACAACTCTGAAAAGGAAACATGAAAGAACACTAATAGCAAACTAAACACAAAAGAATCAAACAATATGGAAAACACTTATCTAATCAAGAAGAGCACAGTGGAACAAAGTATGGCAAGACCTGTTAGAACTTAATAAACAAGGAGATTTTGAAAACTACAAAAGTCAAATTTTAACAGCTAGATATTGTTCCTTTCTGGCAAATGATTATGGTTTGAAATAAATTAGACACTGTCTAATATATGGTTAAATTAATCTGCTCAAATAAAATATATATATATATATATTTTATGGATTTTTTAAGTTGAATTGAGTAAAATGAAATTAGACAAGAGTCATTTCTTGTGATTGTCAGACTCTTAAGAAGCATCCCAAGCTGCTGGTTTATTAGGTCTATAAAAGGCAGGTTGAATCCTCCTCTGTATATTAATTAATTAATTAAATTAATGCAGCTAAAGCTTTGTGAGTAAGGCCAGATGTCTTTCAGTCCATCTTAGATGTTTTCGGCTGGCAGTAGTTAATGTTGGACAAAACACCAATTGCTTATCAAAGTTCAGCCAGCATAACTTTTAAGAGTTTCAACTCTAAATTTGAGCAACTGCAGGAAACAGTAAATAACTCATGTCTGCTTAAAAAAAAAAAAAGAAAAGAAAAAAACCTCAGGGCTTTTGTTAAACAAAGAGCTAAACTTTAACTGACCTCAAAGTTGCCAGCTGTGTTTCAAAAAGCTACCGTATGTCAATATTTTCTTCAGAGGTTCAGGGTAACTCATTAAAACATGATGGAGGCTCTCAGTTTTATTCATATTTTAGAATGGAAATTTATGTTAAATGGTTTTCCATTTAGTTCATTAATACGTACAGATCATTATTATCATTAATACAATAAATATTATGTATATCTGCATGGTGTAAAAGTTTTATTCAAAATATTTCCATCTGGATTGATTGTTTTTTAGGCTTTCTGAATGGCAAAATGTCTGTAAAAAGCTTTTTAGTAGTATCTCACTGGGAGACATCTAGTTTGAAGCAAAGTTCTCTCCTTGCCAGGTTTTAGTTATTTTAGACACGTTTAAGTTACGATATTGCAGATAAACTACGTCTCTATTTGGCTCCAGTATAAATATTGTAAAAAATCAATTTGGACAATTTAAAAGATAATTTAATGCTGGTTCCGCAGCATTAAATTATACATTTCATAATACACCCTCTACTCTGCAGATGACCGTCTCCTCACTGGAAGACGTTTTAAAGTACTTCCTGGAGAAGACAGAGTACCGTCTCCGTCCCTATGTTGCATCTCAGCCCTATGACGTTCGGATCGGTGAGGCTGAGCTTTGCTCATAAAAAAGGCTAAGTTCACAGCTACAGATATTAACAGTTTTTGTTCTTTTGGACAGATGTATCCCCTCCCCCAAAGTGTATGAGCATCCCTCCACCTGTAGTCCCCAAAGCCCAGGTGGCACCCATGCTCCGTGGCCAGACCAAAGACAAGCTTCTTCCTCCTACACCCAAGGAAGATGATGAATTGTATGTGTACCCAGATGATTCTCCACCAGATAATCAAATGACAAAGAAAGGTAAATACAGACTCAAACATTGTCTGCACCCTGATTAAAGATGTGGGGGGAAAAAACAGACAAAATATTTATGGCAAAAGGTTAAAAAACACTTCTAGCTGGTTTGGTGAGCAACAAAGGCGGAAATGTGGGAGCATCATGCCCCCTGTGTAGGTCGAAATTTGGTGGACTCACTGATAAAACTTTAAAGTTAATGTTTTTATCTGCCTGTACAGTGTCCTTGGGTGTTGTGATAAGGCGCTTTCAGATAAAATGTATTATTATTATTTATTATTAAAGAAGATGGTAGTTTGGTTTTCCGTCGCAAAAATGGTTTTCTGTCATGGTTTTCTCCATCCCAAGCTCAAAATCCTTTAGCAAAGCTGAGTAAACAGATGTTATCAACTCCTAAGCAAGGATCGCTGAACTGAGTGATTGTATACATAGAAAAGCAGATTTCATTCTCTGCCTGATCCAAACTTGGTAACAGTAACTGTTTTCTGTTTGTGGAGTTCATCAGATAATCTGTATTCCTCTGAAAATGAAAATAAAAATAAATAAAGGGTTGAATTTTCATTTTTGTTCCCCCCACATCTTAACTAGAGTGCAGTTAACTGTACCTTCATTGTGCATCAATGTTTTAGCAGATAAATCTGATCTTAACAAATAACATTTTTCTTTTTTGGGGGGTTCTAATCAGTTCAGATGAATGATGAGCTTCAGTCAATTTTAAAAAAGAGAAAAGAAAACCTCTACATGGAGACTGGAAGAGACGACGAATCCACCTACAAGAATGAAACCTGTGACAGAAACGGCAGAAAGATCCAGTGGTTTAAATAAAGTTAAACTTTCGCATCCTGATCAAGTTTCAAAATTAAGGTGGATCAAATATTTCATGTTTTCCTGCAAATACCTGTGGTGATAGTAAAAATGTGTAGAGTTTAAATTATGAATAAATCAGTTCTCAGTTGATAACGTGTGAGAGGGCCAAACACTATTCAGAGATTAAAAAACAGCCAAGCAATCACACAAATACAAGTTTGGGTTAATTGAGAACATCTAGGAGAGTTAGAGTAGGGGGAGAAAGGAGCAAATCTACCAAAAACATTTATTTCTTAAGCTTTTTGATAGAAATTATGATTTCAAATGAGTTGCACTCTTTGTTCCGATCAGAAAGGTCTTGTAAAACTCAGATGTTTATTTTAAAAGCATGTATTACAGTATATATTCCCTCACTGTGCGATGTACGACCCATGCAACAGTAAAAGCTGCAGGTTTCTGTGTAAACAGTTTAAGAAACGCTTATGTAGAAATTACTATAAAACTGATAAGTTGATGAGCAAAGTCTGAAACAGCAAAAAAAAAAAAAATGTAAAGAAAAAAGGTTTTCTGTAAAGTCTCACTTTAGTGTTTAAGGAAATGTAAATTTTTTTAGGTTTATGTGCTGAAAAGGTTTTATTGCCTTATATAGCATCCTTCATGGCACTATACTTACTTAGCAACAAAACAGTACATGCTGAAGGTGAAGTATGAGTCTTAGCAATAATAAGGTCTCTAATGGCTGATTCTTATGCAATTAGATATATTAAGAGGTTTTGGCATAAACATAGAATGTTTGTATAAACATTCTTTTAGGATCGAAGCAACGTTTGGCTCTGACCAGCACAAGTGAATTCCAGGAAGCTTTCAACATGATATTCCTGTGCATGTGCAGTTACATAATGCAATGTTCAAACTATAAAACAGCCTGAGATTAAATGAGAGTTTCAGGGGGAAAAACTGAGATGTGACGATGTAGCGCTGAACGTATGAAGTGTTTAAGAGAGCTGCATGGATTCGGATTTGTAATTAAATGTTTTCCCCCTCCGGATGATAAAGTAGTGTGAATCGTTGCCTTCTTTCTGTCGTAAGGGCCAGGAATCAAACCCTGGTCAACTGCTCGGAAGGCAGCTATGCTAACTACTATACCACCAACCTACCCAGGAACTCTGTGATGAGAAGGACCTTACAGAGCAATAGAAAAGGTGATTAAGTTTGTATTTATCTCACACTCAGCTTTGTTAACAAATATTTAAATTATAAGATTTCTGAAATAATTGTGGAGCGATTTGAAGCTGTAACACTGATTGCACAGTAGGATTGGACTGCCATTTTCTTTGAGTAAAGTTTTCCTCCTGTTTTTGTTATCTTAGGAAGGTAAGATGATTGTAATTTCTTTAATGTTTCTTTGAACAGGTAAGATGATTTACCAAAATATAGACTATTTTGTTTGTTGTTTTGGCCTGAGGTCCAATCTGAAGTCCTACAATCGTGTTACGTGATTTATTTCATTATTATCAGAAAGGTTAATTCTCTGAGTTTTACATTTTACAAATTAGTGGAGGATATTTGAAAATGTTAATAATTGCAGATAAGGGAGAAGATAAACCAAGAGGCAATGGGACATTACTGGAACATCAAAAGTTATGTCATAAGGGAATTCTACCAATGAGCTTCCACATATGTACTTTTTAATTTCACTTTGCACCACCAAGACCGCATACTATTGTGTAGTATTATATAAGGTATTATGAGGAATTTGCTGGCTATGATTTTCAGTTTACAAAGCTGCTTAAATATCAGTTTTGGTTTAAAATGTGTTTATTATTGTAAAAATGTCTAATTATTTTGTACAATGTTTAAAGAAAAACATAAAACAGCAAACATGTAAAATATTTTAATGAAAGTTGAAAACACCGAGACCATAATCCAGGATGATCTTCATTCTTTATTTTTCATACTTATGAGTAGTCCAACATAAAGATTTTAAAGTTGTTGTTTTTACACTGAATTATGTTTTAGTGTTTTATCTTCATTAGTTTAGTGGATCATATAAGCTTAAGGATCAATCATCACTCAAAGAACAGCAAGACTGTGAAAAATATTCAATAAAAAAAAAGAAAACGCTCCCTTTTGTCTCCTTCACTTAAAGTGTACAGTATTGTATTCAGAGTGACTGTTTCCAGAGACTCTTAACATTTCCTACATTCTGTTAGCAGCCTTCATGTGAGAAAAACAAATAGAATATAAGGAATAAATTAATGTATAGAGATTCCATAATAAAACTGAATAAATTAAGGTGATTGTTCTTCAGTGTGCAGCTGCTGTGCGGCAGCATCACTTCTCAGTCAGAGAGAGCTGCAGGATCCTCTCCAGCTCCTCCTCTTCCTCCTTACGTTTCCTGGAGCAGAAAGAAAAATCAGGGTTTACTAGTTTTTCCCAGGATTATGTTGCAAAGTCAAACAGGATGTCTAATAGCTTCATTCAGGTTTGATCCCAACTGGGGTGGTATAACAGCCTCTACAGTATGCACATCTCCACCACTTCCTGAACTGAGAGCAGCTCTTCTTTTTTCTACTGGATGAACCGATTAATCTAGATGAATTCATCACTGATTAATCAACTGATTCATCACCTAGATGAATCAGTTAATCCAACAGAAAAATACAGGAAACAAAAAAGTTGCCTTCAGTTCAGGAAGTAGTGAAGTTGTGTATAGAGCCCATTAATTGCATTTGCAACACAATCACATTTTATTCTGCCGTTTGGTTTTGTAATCCCTGTAAGTGTGCATTAATTTGATTATTTGCAAGGATTGCTTTTATCAGATAAAAAAAGCCCTGTGTGATTGGCTGGTTCATTTAAATACAGTGTTAAGTTGTGAGCGCAGAGAAAAAGTCAAGCACACAGATACATTGTTGAGCGCGTCTTGTCAGAGTTGAGCGCGGGGCAGACAGGTTTTGAGTGAGGGTGTGAGTTTAAACGCTGCACATCGTTGCACACTCAGGTAGGTGGCACAGAAATTATACAATAGACATACTCCTCTGATCCTGCTCTGTCATTCTTCCTCCAGCAGTTATCCCCTAGGGCAGGGGTCACCAACCTTTTTAAGGCCAAGGGCTACTTCATGGGTACTGAGTCATAGGAAGGCTACCAATACTGGAGGAGTCAGAGCTGCTGCTCTGAGTTGTTCAATCTTAGTGTTTATGCTGACATATACCAGTATGTTCCTGTGCAGCGTGCTGCTGCTTCTTTAAAAGAGGCGGTCATACCTGCTGCATATTTGGTGAAAACCTGAACAATTTTGGTCCAGAGCTCATTCTCATCGGTTGGCATTGAGCCAAACTTAGTGTAAAAGCATGCAATGGAGATGCAGTGTGATGAGAAGGGTTTATCCAAATACGAGCAAGAATTCTGACCCTCTTAGTATTCATTATTTTTCAAACCCAATAGCAGCTTAAGCATTTCTTTAAATTTAGCTTATGTTTCTAAACAGCAATAAACATATTTTGTTGCACAGATTTTCCTCGCCTCAGGGATAATGATGAAGATAAACAGATCCCTAACAGAGAGATTTTAACTTAATTTGGTCAGTGAGGTTTTTTAGCCTCAGGTAACAAACAAGCAGCCCCCACCTGTCGTTCTCCTCCTGCTCCCTGCATGACAGCTCCATGGCGAGCCGCAGCTGCTCGTCGAAGCTGTTCGCCACGCCAAGGTGTCCTGAAAGCCTCGGATCGGTGGCAGCACTGTAGGAGAGGGGCAGGGTGGAGGCGGGGTCTTGAGGGGACAACGAGGACGGCAGGCCGGGGTCGGCCGTCTCTTCTCCTTCTCTGCTGGCCAGAGAGATGGAGAGGGACTCCTGGATCGCCCTGAGACAAAAACAGGTCTGTTAGATGGCTGTATTCAGAGTCGTTTAAGGAGAGCGTTGATTTAATTTAATTAGAGGACAAATGAGAGGAGCTGCTCCCAGAGGAGGGAATAAAGCTAATTACTGAGCTCTTGTTTAATATCTGTTCATTAAATTACAATTCAGGCCAAAACTTCTACTGAAGACAAAGGATTTATAAAGATATCAGAACCTCTGCTTAAATCTTGGTAATAAGAACATTTTTAATGATTAAATAATAAATACTTCATCTATCTCATACAAACAGTTGAGTCCATCTACAGTTTCTCACCTTTCCAGCTGAGAGTCTTCCTCATACAGCGGAGATTGCGGCCCCGGGCGGCTGTTAGTCAGCGCCTCCCAGATGGTCACCTGAACATTTAGAAGAAAACGTTTCCAAGTTTTAGATATAAAAGGTTCTTGGAGGGGATTTAAATAATCAATTACCCCAACAGAACAATCCAAAGAGTTAAAGAAAGAGCTCAGTGTTCTGCAACTGGAAACGGATGCAAACAGATGCAAAGACCCATGCAAATAAATAAAGTTCCTACTGCAGAGGCTAAACCAGAGTAGACCAAGTCTACCAATAATTGAAATCTTTTTAAGTTCTTGGTCAATTTCAACATTTTTAAGCCAACAATGAATTCACTTTTTACCACATTTAACTTTTGTATTTACATCTCTCTAAATGTATTTGCATTAAGTCACAAACTATTCCCACCCTTTGATCTTCATCACATTTGATCATATTCCAACTGTAAACTTTGATTAAGATTTGATGTCAGAGACCAACACAAAACAGGGACTGACTGCTGAGTTTTTTCATTATTTTACAAAAAACTAAATCTGCTCTCAAACAACCAAAGAGCTCTTAGAGCATAGCTCAAAGCATTATTTAGAAAAACAACAACACAGAACTGAAGGCCTACTAAGGCATGCGCCTTAACTGTATGGAGCTTAACTGAGAGGACAGGCAATGAGGGAGTGAATGAATCAGGCATCTAAAAGGCACATGGTTACTCTGGAAGAGCTGCAGAGATCCACAGCTCAGGTACACACTTCTATCGAAAGGATAAGTGTTAAAGGTCTTCCATAAATTTGGTCTTGTTGCGAGATGAAAGGCTTGAGAGGGCCAGTACATACTTAGACCCCCAGCACTGACAAATGGCAAACTATGTGTTCTTTAGATTAACCACAAGTTGGTAAAACTGTATTTCCTCCTAAAACAGAAAAACAAAAAACAAAAAAACAACAAAGCTCATAATGAAACATTGGGAT